TAATACAAAAGTCATTACCACCGCGATCCGCTGCTAAACTAAACAAATAGTGCAGAGTAAAAAGATATCCCCATGCTCCATGCCATTTACGCCGTCATAGTTCATTAATCGCTCAATGATGCCTCTGTGGTGCCACAAATGTCCCGCTTTGCCTTTGTAACCTAATTTTCGCTGCTTCCGTACCGTCATCTGCTGTTGCAGCTTCCTTAAACCACGGATGTTGAAGCGCCTCCTTGGCGGTGATACGTTCGTTTGGATCATAGACGAATATCTTTCTCAGTAGATCTAGGAAATTCTTGCTAAATTTCGACTGATCCTTAATGATTTCCTATGATTTTATTAGTAAGGTTTGCTAAGTAACATTCGGAATAACTTACATGTAATGGTTTCATCGCCTTCACAAATCGCCGTGAAGCCCTTGTGGTGTCAGCAGATGGGTACTCGAGTCTCAAGCGCTTGAAATATCTGAGAAATCACATCAGTATGAACATTTTTTTAGGGAAGATTCCAGGGTACTCACTTTTGAGCTGGATTTCCTCCGTTTCGTTTTGCCATAGTGTTGACTTGTTGAACGAGATGGGTATCTATTTTTTTATCGACTACCGCTTCCATCATGGCCAGATGCTCCAGGTTATCATGTGTTTGGAAAAGGGCATCGCCCGTAAAGAATTCGACAAGTATACATCCAATACTCCAGATATCACATGGGAACGACCAACCAAGACCAAGAATAATTTCAGGAGCTCGGTAATGACGTGTAGATACGACAGATGAGTGATATTCATCCTGAAAAGTTGCGGAACCAAAATCAATGAGTCGAATCTCTGTATCCAGAAGAACTTTCCGCTGTGCCGCTTGCCGTGTAACTGTGCTTGAAGAAGAAGGAATTTTGCGGCTGTACGTAAAAGCTTGATATGCACTGTTGCATAACAAGATATTCTCCGGCTTGAGATCTGTGTGAATTAAGTTTAAGTCGTGGAGAACTGGTCCAGTGTTAGCTAGTGACTTTTTATTCATGGCAAGATACTTACAGGCAACACTCGTAAACAACTGTCGCGCAAAATGTTGAATCTGGGAATTGGGAAAGGGTACAAAGGAATTGCCCTTCAAGAAATCGAAAACACTCTGTCCCAAAAGATCCATGACTATGCATATATGCCCTCTGTAATCGAAACAATCCCGAAGATGTATACATCTGTTTCGGTTCTCACGATCATTTGCTTTGAGTGTTGAGAGGACTCGTAACTCGATTTTCGAAGCATCCCGATATTTCTGCACAGAGCGAATGATCTTGATAGCAACACATTTATCATTTTGAAGATCTTTAGCTTGTACAACCTTTCCAAAGGTTCCTTGACCAAGTAATTTCTGAACCTGGTCTGATTTCTTATTAGTCTGTACAAAGTATTGGATGAACCCATGGAAACTTACATTGTGTTGTTAGGTGAGTTTCTGGAACAACGATATAATGACCATCGTCATCATCGATTTTAGTATTCTTAGTATAAGAATTCTTCACATATGTTAGCTTTCGATCGTACTAGGGAAAGCATCAAGACTTACATCCGCAATCGGTCGTACTGGGACATCGCGAGATTTTATGGGTGGCTTGGGAGGTGGTATGTAGTTGGTGAATGCATCCCCATTGATTTCTAGTTCTTTCCGCTTGGCTTCATTCGCAATTTGCAATCGAGTATTGGTCCTTTTCCTCTTTTGCCCTATAACTTCCGCAGCCTCGTACCCATTTTGCCCATTGGATGAATGTGAACCAAGGGATGTAGCGGCGGTTGTATGAACTGCTGATGTTGTGCGATCGGTGGATATTGTGGAACCGGAACCCGATTCTGATTTGTAGTGTGGACTCGGATCGATCGAGGGGTCAAGTTGGTATATGGGATCATATGCATCATTGCGTTTTCTCTTCTTCGCCGCATGGCCATTATTCGCTGCCACGGCAGAATTGTTGGCTTGAATATGTGAAGAAACGTCCAAGGAGGGTTCTGGGGATTCAGAACTATCGATGACAATTACCTCTTTAGGTAAACCATTCTCGTAGAATTTATCCCAGTCTGGTTGTCTCTCCTTGGACCTTTGTCTCTTGTGCGGGGGAGGCGCTTGCGACGAGGTAGAAACCATGGCTGCGGGCTTTTTTGGAGATTTTTTAGACTCGACTTTTGCAGGATGTGAGGGTAGTTGAGTCAACTTTGGAGGAGGAGCTACACTCGACGATATGCTATTACTCGACGAGTTGGTCGGAAGGGTGTAAGAGATGCCCAAACGGCTATTTCCGTTCAACAGACCGTTGCTCGCTCGATATTGGTGGTTTGATTGATAATTCTGATGATGTGAGTATCCGTAATTGGGATGATGGGGAGGTAAAGTCGATGGAGTCGACATGGCACAATGGCAAGTAGTAATCGCTTCGACCCTGGGGTGGGCTCAGACTTTATCACGTCCAAATTTTTGAAGTATTTGGATGATTTAAGATGAATTCTCGAGATCAAAAGGATCCGAGCATCGAGTCCAATATGGAAGAGTATGAGTTGATTGTTGTAATGTAGAAGAAATGCGCGATGATGTATGAAGGAGTTGACGGTTGACGTTGGAAGTGGATGATGGATGATGGTCTAAGGTAATTCTTTCTATCTTTCCGACCGTATCGCGCTGGGTTCGAAATGTCAAATACGCGACATTTCTCGAAGGAGGGTGGATTATATTGACTTGATAGGTAGGTTTGGATGTGTTAAATTTCCAGATGCAAGAAAATATTGTTGGATATCTTTTCGATAAAGTTGGGGTGCTCTGAGAGAATTAGAAATAAGCACTTCTTTCCAGTTTTCTGAACTTGATGGCACTGGCGTTTCTTGCGGGTGGTTCAAGATCGCTTATGACTTAGCAAGGACTGTATTGTATGATTTTCAAGTAAAGTAAAGTAAAGTTAATTGAATTGGGTGGTGAATTCTTTTGGTTTGTTCCACTACGACCAGCACTACTGTACTCGGAAACTATAATAATCATAATAATAATAATAATAATAATAAGTGAACCGTTCAACTCGATTGATTCACTGGATTCATGTTTGACCATTTGTTAAATTTCTTTCTCTTCTTTTCTTCACTCTACCTATGTATTCCTTCCTCTCTTTCTCTTTCTTCCCTCTCTTTCTTCTTCTTCATCATTTCTTCCCTCGATTTTGAATCATGAAAAATGATAATACATTGAGGTATCTATCTATCTATCTATCTATCTATCTATCTACCTGATGAATTACCCAATGAGTGATCAAAGAAAAGTGTCTGTTCATGGTCAGTCTATATCAAATGATTGGATTTTACCTGCTCCGGACTAGGGAGGTATCTCGATTCACTCACTCATGATTGAGGGCATCTCAATTTAGGAAGAATACCTACCTAGGTACAGAGAAAAACAGGTCAAACCATGATATTCTCTTTTGGGTCTATTAATTCACATCATTGAATTATTGAAATCATCCTTCTTCATATAATAAAACTATTGTGATCTTATAAATACATCCATTAGATACCTAGGTATTTACGTACCCAGCTAATCATTCACTCTTGGTACATTCATTTACCTTCCTCACATACCGACTTTTACCAAGTACAGAGCTATAATTCATTCCCCTCAAGTCGAAAAGGCTTTATTAGTCCCTTGTCCCAAGAGAATTATACTTCATGCCAACCGACTATCATGTCAATATGAAGTTATCCCATTCGCCATGCTCCATTTCCCCTGTATCATACGTTCTGTCAATATGTAGTGTAGGATAGCGAGCGACCTCCCTCCCTCCATTCTCAAATGTACCTAGGGAGATACTAGGGATGGACTGCAACTTACAAGCCCTTTCTGCATGCCACGACTAATCTTACCCATCTAGCCATCTTTACCCCGATGTGACGATGTCACTTTCTTTGAAAAAGTCCTTCCATTCATATATCTATGTAGTCAGTCACATCACATCACTTAAAACACTTCTGAGAAAAGCCGGTGGTTCTCCCCTCAATTCATCCAGAAGCCTTCCTATTCATTCATTTTGGCCAATCCTTTATCAGTGGAACCAACCCCCCTCCGTTATTCTTACATTGACTGAGTTGATGAATGCATGATCCAAGTCTAATAAGTCCTGTCATCATGCTTCACAAAGAAAGAAAAAAACAACCTCACAAACCCACAAACCTACTGCCTAGAAAAGCTCAGCCCAAGGAAAGCCAACACTGTAACATTTTGCAGGATATATATTAGATCGGGAAGATCCTTAAGCCCATAATAGTAACAAAAGTTATTTTTGCAGTAGTATTTCTAATTTCTCAATCTATTCAAAATTCCACACTGGTTCAACCTTTTACTTTTCTGTGCAATTGCCACTGAAATTTCCATCCATTGTTCTACTTCGAAAATCATCCGCTTGATAGAAACCCCTCGATCTTCTTTATCTCATGTGGCAATTGTCATAGGCGAGGTATGGAGGGATCATCATTGCAACTTGTTTCTCGTAATAGATGCGAACAGAAAAATATTACTTACTGTACTCACATGAGTTTGAGTTTCGAACGAATATCCTAAACAATTCTAGAAAGACCTGCTGAGATACAGATATAAAAATCCGTGCTCATGAACCAATTTAATGGTCGTGCGGGATGTGTGATCGACGAACAAGGGGATCCCGTTGGTCTTTGAGTCGGCAATCACGTGCCCAAGAGACACTTAATTCAAGAAGGGGTGAGAAGCGAAATGTTATACAGCCTCAGCTGAATTGTTATCTATGTGTTATTTGTATTTTCTTCTATTGGTATCAGATTCCTGTGCAGTGTAGCCATGAACGCCATGCTCTATGCTTTCTTTAATCAATATCCCGCCAGTAGATCTCTCGGTGGGGTTAAAATAGAACTCGAGCCGCATGATGGACCTTTGAAAATTGTGGTGGAATAAGGCCGAATTGTGTCTTGGAAATATAAAATTCGAGTCATTCAATGATGTCTTCATATTCCTCTGTTGAAAACCACCTTTCCACCCTCTCCGCCCTTGCCCCAGAATTCCTCCTCTAACGTTGATGCATCTACGCTTTGGCGTTGAGGGAAGGCCGCTAGAGCTAGAGGTAGAGCAAATAAACTAGTACCAAGAATGAGACCCAGATTGATCGGTAATGTGAGTCTAGGGTTTCTAATGAGAAACTGCTTCTTCTGTAATCTCACCAAAATTAATGCTGGAATAACCATAATTGGAGAACTGTTCAAAACTCGACTGATAGCTGTCTCCGAGACGGCAATAGTGGCTGCTTTCTTGCTCTTGCCCAATGAAGCAACCTCGGACTCAGATTTGCCCTCTGCTGCAAGCTTTACCTTATCCGATTCTGAGAGAACTGGGTAGACATCAATGCCTTTTCTAATTTCTTCTCCTCGCATCAAGAAAACATTCAATGCTCCAGCACTTGCAACGGCAGCGAAGGGCACCAATCTTCCAAGAATCATCTTGGTGCCTGGGCTGACTTTCTTTAATCTTGGAACAAGAGCATTGAGACCAAGTGCAACAGAGCAAGAAGCTCCAACTGCGAGAAAGTAAGATTGTGCAATTTTTGAGGTTGAGAGAGGTGTGGATTTGTTGGCATTGGCATTGTTGATAGCCACATTAAGAGATTGATTTGTAATTTGCCATAACAATGTTCCTGTCGTCTGCCAGCTGTTAGCAATGGGATATTTCTACAGAACTTCTGAGAGAGCTTACTCCCAATCCTGGTGTAAGCATTCCTGCTGTAACTACCAAATTCGACAAGACGAAGCATGACATTCGAAATGGAAGGAAAACTGGAGTGCCGGTATCTAGTAATATGAGCCTTCCATCCAGTACTTTCGCAGATTCTCACAAACCCGGATGTAATGTTGAATCGACAATCTTTTTCGCATTCCATAACTGCGGAGTCATTTCATGGATCTTCCCCTGTTTATAACTCGAAATGAGACTTTTCGCATGCTCCAATCCGGCGCTGTCGACCAACAATGTTCTGTTCAATAGTCAGCATATGATGTTGTATACTTTCAAAACGGCCACGATGGAGTGTCTAAAAGAAAGTGTGAGCACCTTTTTGGTGAAAACACACAACAAATTCCTCCTCACCTAGGGTCTGAAATGGCCGCAGAATGCATTACCCGTCCCCAGTATGTACTGAGATCATACTGAGAAGCGGGTAATTCTCGATTGCCTGGAAGAGAGGCAGACATTGTTCTGGTCCTTGAGTCACTGTATGGTGTGAAGAAACCTCGAATTGAGGTTGATATAAGACCTCGATATAGATGGTACTGGGGGCAAAATGATTTCGGATCCGAATTATCAATAGTAAGCCACTCGCAGATTCATAGAATACATAAAGGCCGCAGAATTGGTGAATTAAGTCTTTCGAGTTGTCTTCGCGGGAAACCCCAAATTATTTATTTTTGGTGCTCTGACTCCGCTTTCGCTTCACCTGTTGATCGGGATTTCTTCTCCAGGAGCGAAGATAAGGTCTCACCACAAAACAAAGCATATCACACAAAGGATTTATTACTTCTGAACAATAATTATTAAATTGTTTGATAATGAAATTTGCCTATCTGAAACTCCTTGGCGGTTTAGTCATTATATTCTATTTAATGTATTAGCAACCAACAGACCCTTGTGTTCTTAAGAAGTCTTGACATACGAAAAAGTACCTATCTAGAGGTTTATCGAATGAAGGGGTCCAGTAGACACCATTCTGGGCGAGAAGTGACCTCGGTCTCATTGACATCTTGATACTTGATAATGATATTCAAGGCTCATCGATCCGAATTTGCTGAACACTTAAGTGACCAGTCATGAGGATCTTGTCAATGGCGGGGTGAAATTTGAAGAGGATATGAGTACGATGAATGGCAATGATGCACAAGTACGAGCAAAGTACATATTGTGCCGAAATACAGATGCATAGTACAGACCGCGTGTTGCGTTGCGAATCTCGAAATACCGGTACGATAATGCACTGGGCTACCTGCAGGTCTAGGTTTGTTATAGACCTCCGTACATCAATTAACACGCGTTCAATATGCATTTGTGTAGCTATCAAAAGCTGGTCAACGCAAGTGTCGACAAGTCAGAGAATTGATGCATCGATCACCAAAGAACTCAATCCAAATGCAACAGTCCACTCACGGCTTTTACCACAAAAAATACTTGGCATTTACTAAAAGGACAGTATTGTGTATAAATGAGCTCCTATAATGGATTGGTATCGGTTTTCTGGTCATTCGCCCTCAAGTATCTAAACATGTAATCTTACCTAGGCATAAGTTTGAACTTTCAGCGAACATCTCAAAGTGCGGCATCTGCAGCTTTTACCAACCTTTAAATCAGGTCACGACTTCTCATCGTGAACATGATATGTCAATCATGTACTTTATTGTGTACTACCGTACGACTTGATCTCATGTTGTAACCAACATGGCTGGCGGAACAACCACAACGTTCAGCATTCTCCAGCAGCCAGCACACCAGCGATCTAGAATCACACTAACCGTCCTCAACCACCAGTTTCGTATGAATGTCATACTTTAGACACTGTACCAAGCTTAACTCAGCAACTCATCTCCGTTGCAATAATTCCGGCCAACTTTCAGATATGCAACAAAAGACAGAATAACCAGCACTTGTACAAGTAAACGCCACGGAATCTTGAAGCGAGCCTGTCAATACTTGACACCTGACCATTTGTACCTTTTTGATGCAAGAAAGTGGTCAAAGAAAATTTCTCTGCCTTTCTTTTGCCATCGCCGAGAATTCTTCGTGGTACCGAAGCCTGGACTCTTCCGCGGAAATCAAAAGATATCTCACCCGATGTTTTTCGACTTGTCCGAGGTATCCGAATTAGCATCGTAATATTAGTATATGATGATGTATTTGACTGAGTAGAAGAACTGGTCTATTCTTGATCTTACCTTCGATGTTCCGTTCGATACTACCCTCTTGGCAGTATGTGCCGTCCAGTGTTACATTTCCATGTTGATACTCCGAATCAGCCAAAATGTTACTTTGTCATATCGGCGAACAATATCATGCCATTGTATGCCAGTGGAGATTACGCAAATATGAAAGTGATGCGTTTATCTCATCCGTCAAGTTTTTGTCACTCTCAAGCGAGAAATAGTCAATATAAATTATGCCTATGGTTGTGTCAGTATGATGGATCAAACCGGATGATTACTATTGTATTCGAAGAGAACCCTATGAGCATTGCTGTCAGGCCTACATGGCCCCGAAATAAGTAGCAGTATCTCTGCATGCTCCCACCAGGCCTACAAAATGCCATTGGCATTTCACAACCAAGCGGTCAGTCGCGTTCGGGAGAGAATCAGTCTCGAATGAAATATAACCAATGGAAGCTCATTCTAGCCAATTGTCATACCCAGCTATTCTATCAAGCATTATCTTCAAGAACACTCACCCTCATAGCCAATACCATGAGCGAATACAACCTACGTAATCTACAGATGTATATATCATACCAAGTTAACTATTTTTTCAAGAGTTGCACATTTACTTCCATGTAGCCTATTGTCCTCTCCAATTGATCTGACGACAACCCGACAGGAAACCCCCAAAAAGTTTTGTTGCATATCTGAATTTACGAAAAAGTACTTTTTGGGAGGTTGGTTTTTTTCTCAAATTTGCTTTTGTGCTAAGGAGATAGAACGTTACAGAGGCAGGTTTCCTACTACCTAGCCAATTTTGAGCTTGTTAGATCCCTCACATGAAGAGTTATTCCACTTTTAATATTGGTTAAGCACCATATATACTCAATCAGTTAGTCGAGCCTTGCTGCATATCTGTGTTTGGTCAAAAAGTACTACTGTTGGTGTCGCCGCTTCCTTGCAACAAAACGTCTTTATAGGGCTCAAGGTATGTCAATAGGAGGCGGCTATAGAGAACATGTACATGCCTTCTGGTCGAATACGGCTTGACTTGCTTATGGACACACGCATAATTCAAGCAACTGATTAGCTATCCAGAGTTTTGCTGCACGTCTGATACCAAAAATGCCCGGAATTAAAAGTACTTTTTGACTACCTTCAACTTCGAGCAGCTTTGCCACTCCAGAATAGGATACAGAGATAGGCTCCTGTAGACTTCATATATGCTCTCGGAAATATTGAATCTAAAGTTCTAGAAGAGTAACAGAATTCGGAAAGTTTTGTTGCACGTCTGATCAGAAGTCCTTTGGTGTTGAAAAGTACTTTTTGATAACATTGAGGAAACCGACCAAAAGTGTTTGTACTGAGAGACGAAGAGACGTGATACTATCTTTCTGGCGGAACAAAAACCAAACAATCGTGATCTATGTCAACGGAATTGAAACTGGCCAAACAGACATTAAGCCAAAAAGTTTTGTTGCACATCTGAAGTTCAAAAAGTACTTTCCAAGACGCCGGGAAAATCGACAAAATCCCGTTTTTGATCTCTACTACGACTGATTACAGATATAGATTATTTGTCTCCCGGTTTAACGCGAGCTTCCTATGTCTTTCCTACTCAAGATTATCTCTTTGAAAATAGCCATATATGCCCACCTAGGTGTGTGGAAGCGAAAGATTTGTTGCATATCTACAAAAAGATTTGGTCCTAAAAAGTGCTTTTTAAGAAGACCTAGAAGAAGATGGTTCAGCTCGTGCTGTTGCTATCTGGTAGGTACGAGTCTTAGCACCTGTAGCATTCGAATTTCTGATCGAATTTGGGAAAGCCTATTAGGCTTTTGTTGCATATCTGCAAAAGTAATTTTTATTATGCGTTCAGTATATCTACAAGAGAGGCCTTACAGTGACTTGGGGGTGTATACAATAAGTGATCTCACTTGAGCTGTACAACCCTAAAATACTTTTTTCCAGAATTGTGTCCCGAGCGTTGAAGAAGAATGAGAGCAATGGCATGTCCGGGAATGATTTCTTCAACTCAAAGAGAGCGAACTTCGTCAATGTGAATTTACCACTTCCAGGTTTACCTCGAATCCAGAAAACCCCATGCTTCTCTGGCAGTATGCTGTCGTTCAGCCACTCTAGGTATACTGAAGTTGTGAGTCACCATTTGCAGGTTCTGTAATGGCCGGACTTCACGTTGTTAGGACGATCGTCAATTTGATCGAAGCGTGGAAAATTGAAGATATCGCTCTTTGTCTGAGAGGACACAGTGCTGTGAGCCTCTGGTATCTGTGAATCAAACTTCCTTCGTTTCGCGGCTGGCTCTATATCTTCAGGCAGAAGCGAGATATTAGTGCAGTGTCGATACACAGAAGTCAGGTTCGAATTTTTACTTGATAAATTCTTGGTAACAGGACTGAGGTCTTACCGGTTAGGTTCCCCTGGATCTCACATTCCAGCCTCTTAAATGCCTCTTCCCTCGCCGTAGATAACTGACATGGATACTCCAAAAATATTGAGCAAACCGTATGCTGCATCTTCTTTTCTTGTCATGATTCGTTTTCCCGCCCACTTCTTTCTATCAGCAACGCTGAATTTTGATAGGTATTCCTCGGAGCGCCCCGGTAGCGATACCTGTAATCTCTTGTATCATCAACTTTAGAGAATCTTTATCCCCAAGCCTTTCACCATCTCGCGAAAAGAACTCGACTGATGTTGAAGCCAGGAGGCGCATTATACGACTTCGACTATGGAATGTCCAGGAACACAATTAGTGAAGGTAGGGCACACATCGAAGAGACAGTAGCGTATCGGAATTTCGCATTTCATCTTGATCAAAAAATGTATCGAGAACTTTTTGAAAAGCACAACCATCGTAAGACTGGGCAGGGAAAGCTTCGCGCTTCAGGAATGTCAGTGTGTGCCTCATAATGGGATATTTCAATATCACATCGTCTCCTTCAGCTTATCACTTGCCATGCGCAGGTTTTCCACAAAGGATTGGTATATTCTCATACGGTCATATTATAAGTAGATAGATCTATTGTTGGTAATAGCTCTACTCGCATATTGACAACATTAACACGAAGGAAAACAGTGCATCCGATAAATAAAAGATGGGATCTGCAGGACATTGCCAAGCTATTATGGGACTCTGCAATGATGGCAAAGTCTTGGGATCTTATTGAACTACGTTGTATCTACCCCGTAGAGAGGATGATTATTTGGATTGCTACGTTTAAAAGAAGCATCGCGTTAAAGATTGGATGGATGATAACGTTACGGGATTCCAGTGACTTCGATAATATCTGTTTACCTCCTACCTAAGCGCCACAGATTTAATCATTTAATATACATGAAAGGAGGCTGGCAGATTCTTTGAAACCCCCAGGATATTGCTGATGCTATGAGAGAAGCTGGGACCAGTGGCTGGGATATATAGTGAAGATAGAAATATTCATCTGGTGAGTTGGAGATACCAGCCCTTCTATACTACTTGGCTAGGAACATAGCAGTGGCAAATCCTGTCAGAGATGATGGCCTTGTGATGAGATGAAATTGATTCTAGAACACAGATGTGTATGTTAGGTTACAATGATGTACTGCAGAGTGATTGACCACAAGAATGTATATTAACTAAATACAAAGATTAAAATATATAATTATGAATAGGTACTCGAAGATAGTTGATTGTGATCGTGTTTCAGACACCTATAAATTCTCCGACGTTCAAGCCAAATAGACCGAGTCTCCTAATGACCGCTTCCATATGTAACGAGTTATCAAAACACGATGCACCATCAAAGATATGCCATCTGGGCTGATCACAATGTATTTCCTGCAGAGGTAGGGACAGTATTCTGGATCGATGAAACTGCAGCTGCCGAGGGAATGCTAGTCTTTCCTTTGAAGAGATAAAGGAAGCTCGTGTCTGAGTAGCTGAAGGCACCCGAGCTAGACAGACTATTTGAGACACAGTTACGACCAAGGTACGCCGCGCATTTGGACGCATCGGCAGGGTTCGAGGTGAATAGACGAATCGAAGAGCCTGCTTGCACCACCGTCGGGACGCTCGTGAAGTAGTTACCTTCGTACAGACCCATGCCGTTCTTGTCTCCTTCGAGTAGGTGACCGGAGTTGGAGGACCAGACATTGTTCACGGCGTGGAAAAGTGTGTTTCCAGAAAGTGCAGGGGTACGACCAGAAGTGTTATAGACGTAATTTTCTAATGAGGGTAGTGGTTAGCTCTATTTTCAGGGGGGTGAATTCGGGAGAGTCATACTGTAGAATGTAATTTGATCCCCTGATCCTACCAGCTCCAAACCCCAGTATGTGTGTCCGTCGCACGAAGCGGAGTGATCCGTCTTGCCATTGATAAAGCTGTTAGAGATTGTAACTGCGTTGTTGGCACCGGTGCCGAAGCTGTAGTGCTGACGGCCGAGACTAGATGTCTACGTCAAGCAAATATTAGTTGGTTTTACCTTCACTGCTAGCATGCCAGAGAAAACTCACAGTGACATGATCAATCCATATATTGTTAGTATCACTGAAAGTTAGCGCATCACCACCCCAGACGTACTTGGGGTTAAGATTGGTGATGGCGATGTTCTGGATGATGATGTTCGAGACGCCAATAAAACGCAAGCCTTTGCCGTTCAGCGTCGCGCCGTTCTTGCCGACAAGTGTCTTCTGTGACTTGACATTGATACCTTGATAACCAGCAGTATCGACAGACACGCTGTATGTTGGGCTCGAGCCGCATCCACCGAGGGTGTTAAGTAGCGCCTGTCCTCCATTCGAGGGCGTGCATGGATAGTTATTACAAGCTGTCAATGGAGTTGTGCCCTCTGATCCGACAAAATTGAAAGCTCCGGATATGACGATATTCTGGGGCTCGTCTGAGGTGAGGTAGGCCTTTAACTGCTCGATGGTGGTCGGATACACAACTGCTGCACTACCGCCACCCGTGACGGCAGAAGCCATGCCCATTGGTGTGCCTTTGACTATGGAAGAGATAGCTCGCTTCTCAGCGCTTTCGACTGGTGCGGCCACTACCAAAGTACTGAAGGCCGCTAGCATCACTGCCGAAATGAACCTTAAGTTCGTCATCGTGTTTGTTGAAGAGAAGAAAAAAAGAGTGTGAGTAATGAACGTGAAAGAGAGTGAGTAGGTTGATTCTTCCAAACAAGTTGTGCAATCTCATGTCCCCCGCCGCCGACTTTGTACTTTTCAATTTGCATTCAGTCATCAAGGGTCTACATCTCGTAGCTTCCTCAGACTAGCAAACATCGGCCAGAAGTTCCAGAACAAGACGAAGAGGGGCACGTGCACTTCGGCGCACTAATAAACATCAGCTAGAACAAGAAAATGAGGGAGGGGTACGTCCACCTTCACCCCTAAACCGGGTAATTAGTTTAAATAGATAATATACTCCAAACAAAATACCCACTCACAAATAAGATTAATTGTTAGTTTTCGCTTAATCTCTTTCTTTGACCCAGAAGTTCAGATAAGCTTCTAGTTCTCCCCAGTACGTTCGTTATGTGTACTATATATCAAACGGCTAAGCGCCGTTAGACTCCTTCTCGAGTCTCGACCGCAAATACTTTCGTACAGAGCGATCGCTTTCGAGATTAAGGAATAACTCCACCAACACAACCTCCACAATTTTACGAGAAACCACTTCCAGGTAGTTCTCCGTAAACATTCAGTTCCTCCGGGACACTTCGATAATCAAATTCCGAGAAGTTGCCCGCCCGCATCGGGGAGGTGATAAGTTCAACCCACCAATCGGTCTGAATACTTGGCATCATCTTCTGACATCAGTCAAAAATAGCCTGTTATTATCGGAAAACTGTTTGCGATTTGTGCGCAACAAGCCAAAGTAATTGTCTCATGCACCCCAGAGCGCCACAATGATTGCGGGGTGCATGCCTTCACGTCAATGAGCCTCCTGTAACATAGACAGAGATATGCTATCAACCAGGTTCAACAGTATAGTCTGTTACTGACGTGGCTGCCGAAGCTGCCGAGTCTAACGAGGTACACTACCCTATCTGGCTGCTTTTGAAGTCTATTTTTCTGAAGTCTTCCCTCTGAAATTGTTTTAACCAAATATTGATATGACTAGCAGGCTGTACGTAAATTACGGGTGCCCCCCTTTCCTGCATCGTGCTAGCGCGCCGAAGATATTTTGTTGCACGCCTAAAAATAGCATACTTCTTACCATGGACCAGGACAGTAGACTAGGTCCAATACTATGTGCTGCCACATATAAAATGCTAATCTCTTGAGCTGCCAGCCGCAATAGCATCAAAAAGTACTTTTTTGATTCAAATATCTTTGAGTGGTGGACTGAAGACCCATCTGTTGCGCATCCCATCTCGGAAGTTTGTGTAGAGTATTTGAAAGTCTTTCCAAAGATGAAAGTTTGAATAGATATGCAACGAAACTCTCCCAGAATTACGAGTGAATATAGTAAGGTTGATTTTACAATCAATTGTCGCGCTCAACGAATCGTATATCATTCCTAGGCATCATAAGCTGTCTGGATACTGTCAGGGAGACTTTCGAGCTTGTTTGGGTGCTTAGTCATGTCTGTATTAAAGGACTGCTTCTCCCAAGCGCAATCATGGACTTTTGCGGCTGTGGCCATCAGTCCCGGTCCCGGACACTAATGAAATAAGATACTTGATCCTATCCTCCCTGTATCAATGTACCGTTGCTCGCTGGATTAGTCTTTTAGCTCCAGCATTACCGACCGAAAATCTTTTTATTGTATATTACATTTCGACAGATCGTACAAACTCTATTCAGAGGTACATTCAATCCTTTCAATAGTCAAAAGTGATTTTGCAGATATGCAAAAATACTTTCTAGTTATCGGATACACCAGATATCATCAAAATGCACGCCATCCCTTCCTTACCACGCAAGAGGTAGCTCTCTATATAAAATTTACTTTCAATTATTCAACCCAATTTGGATAGAAGGGCACAGTCAATAATCTTCACCTCAACGTCCAAACGTAGTTCCACGAGCATCATTTTCTCAGCTCAAGAACATCCATTATATAGGTAACAACTACAGTAATTCAAATCCTCAAGTTAAGCAAATAGAACAGAGTAAAGGTGATCAAAGGGTTGAAAGGGTTGGAAATGCTTTTTGATGGATCTTGGTTTATGTATCTATGTCTTCGCTTCAGAACTTGGAAGTCTATTAAGAATGGGATTCATTGCATGGTTTAGAAAGATGGGAAGGGTGAATAAACGACGTGGTGAAGTTGATGTGATAGGTACTAGGTAGTCCAACGACAACAGAAAGGCCATCTCTAATATTTGATGACGATGACGATACTTACAATTCAAAGAGTTTAAATACTTGAGCAAAAGGAAAGGAAATCCAATTTACATAGATTATTCATAAGTACAACACGTCCTTACATATCTACACATCTACACATCTACAATAATTCTGAATCACAAAGCAGACCTAGTTTCCTGAAGTCTCCTTGTCTGAAACTCTTCATATTTTGGACTCTGGGGAAGAAAAACTAGCCAAGAAAAGTACCATTTACACCCCTTTCGCGATTCGCGAAGGGAAATGTGTAGAGATATCTACCTACCTACCTAGTCAGCTCGCGAAATCGAAGTGAATCAAACTCCTGCATGTATTCCAAATTCTGAGAACAAAAAAAAGTTATTATGATAATAACTTAACCATAGACTTGACTTTTACGCATCAAGCATAGGTAGGTATCTAGGATGTAAATAAGTGATTACCTCCCGAGTCCCTAGCAAGCTTTTTCTTTACCATACATTCCACGAGGAACAGAAAACTGTATCTAATAGTAGTAGTAATAAATTATTAATCGATTTAGTCTATCTATAGCTAAGTTATACTGACTATGTAATGTGTTTATATAATATTAATTATCTAAAGTAAATAGAAAAACAAAAGAAAAATCTATCCCCCTGTAAATAATCTTTAAATCTATTATTGTAAAATCTCATTTTATTATAAAACCTTTATAATCTTTTTGTTTATTTCTCTATGATCCTTATAGTTTCTTACTTTTTATATCTATTTCTATTATCTCTTTCTATTCTATTCAATTTCTTTCACTATATTAAAATTGCCCGGTTTAGCGAATGATAATGAGAATGTAACAAAACCCTCTCATCTCACATACCCCCATCTCAAACTCCCTTCCCCCGTTCCCCCATCTCGCAATCCTCCGCATCCCACACCCCAGATACCAAAACCCCAAACTATCACCAGAGATCACAAACCACACTCCTCACCACCTTGGCGCCACTGCCTGATTCCCGACTTTCCTACAACCATTCCATTTTCTTTCTTTTATCTCTTTTATAAATCTATACCTAGTCATATACTTTACTTTGTTTTGAATTTGGATCGCTGCTAGATCGTGGTGTTGAGATGACGTTATGTGATTTGGTTGAGATACACTTAATGCACTAATTCGCCCTCTTTTCTTATTTCTTTTAGAATTCTACCCAGGTATATATCCACATACCTAGGTAAGTAATAAGAATTCAGATAATCTTTTTGCAGAGATATGTATCAAATCCACCATCTCCACTTTCCAATCTGCGAATCTACATTCAGAATTTCAGATAGATACCTACACCGACTGATTCACTCTCAACTTCTTCAGATGATACCATTCCACCACATTTCGCTCGTCTATAACAGGAGGATTTATATCTCTTCCTGAAGTACCTAGGTATCCATTATCTTGTCTAGTAACTCCAATCTTGATGTAAACAATTTATACAATTTATTTATACAACAATCTACACCTCTAATATATATACCTACAAGCCCCAATCCCTCTCTTCCCCCTTCCCCCTTCCCAATCACCATTCCACATCCAGCGGCCCCACCCAACTCTCCCCCACCGCTCTATAAATCCTCACTTCCCCCTTCACCAACTCCGCCATATTATATTCACCCCTCATAACCTTCTTTACCCCACCCACATTTTGTTCTACGACTTCTATGATACCGTTTGGTTTGACTATTGTTTCTCTTGTTAGTGGACGATATTTAATTTTCATGGGATATTCGAGGGGATTTATGCATAATCGTAAGGAAGAAGGATGTGTAGGAGGAAGCGAATGAAGAAAATACTCAAAAAAGGGAGGAAAAACTGCGCAAGGAAACAAACACAGCAAAGAAAATAAAACTCACCCCCAACAACAACACTAGTATGATCTGGAGCCCCCGCCCACTTCTGACCTCCTCTATTATCCCTAAAATGTGCCTCCAAGAACTGCACCACATCACCTCTCCTCACCCCTGCTTCCTTTACTCCCCCTCCAACCTCCACCCTCCCATTCTTAAACTCAAAAACCTTATACCCATGCACAAATCCCTGACTATTCATACACCCCTCCTCACCTCTCTCTTTACAATCCCGCGCAACAGCTTTCAATCCCTCGTTAGCCAAAGTCCAACACTCACCATTCCCTACTTGTGTTCCCATCTGCGCTTCACACCATCCCGCCAAACTCTCTCCATACCTATCTCCATGAAGATCTAACTCCCTTTGCCCTAGCTTTCCTGGCGGTGCAATATGTCTTTGCTCCGCTCTTACTGTTCTTCCCGGATCACTAGCATCCCATACTAATTTAATTTTAGTAGTCGAAAGGTTAGTGTTATCGCGTAAAACACCAATGAAAGTGTGAGTTTTGCGAGGGCCGTTGGAAGTCCAACTACTACACGAGGCGTAAGAGCGAGTGCCGGGGAGAGAAGTGATGGAGGGAGGTGGGAAGGCGGGGGGATTTTGAGCGAACCAGAGGGTTTGAAGCGAGAGAGGGAGGTCGGTGGGGGTATACTGTGATTGTGGTGGCGAGGGAGATGGGACGGGTGTGGGATGAGAAGACTGAGTATGGGTTAGTCCTTAATTCAGGAAATGTGGAGGATGATAATGACGAGGGAAAATATCGAAAGGGGGGGGAGGGAAGGGCGGGCTTCAATAAAATATATGCATGCTATCACGGCCTGAAAAGGGCTTTTTGAGTAACGGAGATAACATCATGCTTTGCGATATGAGATATCCATTCAAAATTATCGGACCAGTGTATGGAGATACCCAAGAATAGCAAAGAGAAAACTACAAAGTCCGAAAAGATCATGAAAAGTCCCAGTGTTTTCGAAATAAAGGATAAAAGTATTGATTGTAAAATTATGAATATTGACCACTTACCATAGGCTTAGGCTTAGTCGCCATTGGTATAGGCGGCGGTGCCCCATTCCCAGGAGCAGCCAATTCCGATCTCTTCTTAGGCGGAGGCGGAGGAGCCGGTTTCTTTTTCCCCAGAACTGATTGTCCATTAAATCCATTTCCAACCGGACTAGATGAATTCTCCATATTCCCATCGTGTCCATTAGGCGAAGCGTCTCTCCCTTGCGAAATTCCTCCGTATGATCCAACTTTATCTGCAATTCCGTATTTTGTATTTAATTTATTCGCGGATGCCCATCCGGATTTTACTTGTTCCCCATGTCTTTCTCTGAAATTGTTCGCGGTACTTGCAGCGGTTCGAGCGTCGGATAAAGAAATAGATGAGGGATCTTTATGGAATGCGGATGCGGTTTTCAGAGCTGCTTGTTTTTGGGCAAAGGTTGTTCCTTCAGAAGGTGGTGGAGGTTTGGGAGATGAAGAGGATAATGATGGCGAGGATGTGAGCCGAGAGAATCGAGATTGAAGTTCATTCACCTGTGGTGAAGAAGATCTGGATGGTATCTGCGGCGAGGATGTCCGTGCAGGCAATTGTGGTGAAGATGTCCTTGAAGGCGGAGGTGGAGGTGATGAATTATTTGTAGATGTTCGGGATGGAGGGGGTGGTGGTAGTGCTGGTTTTGCTTTTGTAGACCCAATTCCAAATCCAGGCACTGATATTCCTGCTGCTCCCAACCTACTCAATGCCCCTTGATTCAATATACCTTTATGTGGATCCGCTTCAGATGTAGCCGCGCCATATGTAGGAGGAGGTGAAGGGGCCGATGATCCCGGATTAGAGTTTTGTCGCGGTGGCAATCTTGGTGGTAAGCCAGGAGGTTTAGGTTTGCCAGCTGTAGGAGGCATAGGCGGTGTTCTTCCATCTGCGCCGTCTTTTCTACCAGGAGGTGGTGGTAAATGTGATACGGATAATCCTGTAGTATTTGCACGGTATGGCATTGGCGGTGGTTTAGGTTTCGCAGCTTCTTCTTCTTGTCTTCTTCTTTCTTCTTCCTCTGCCTCTTGTTTTGCTCTTATTTCACTTTGTGGCACTGGGGCACCCAATCCTCCTGTATCCGATCTTGCTGAACTCGATAGACTGGTCGGGGGTGGTAAAGCGGCTGCTCCATGATATTTAACACTTTTTGGCGGTGGACCGAATGATGAAGGATCTTTCAATGAAGACAGAGGTGTGGAATTATGTTCTAAAGCTTCTTCTCTTGGATCTTTACCTTTTCCCATCCTGTTGAATAGAATGTTAGCTCAATACCTAGGTAAATACAATGTCTGAAATCAAGAAGTCCTTCATCTTGTTCGGAAAAGGAGATAAAACATACCATCCAGCTACTTGATTAAGCCCCTTGAAATCACCTCTCCAACTTTCCTTGGATTTCCCATCTTTACCTTTTGGATGCCATCCACCTTTCAAAGTATCCTTCAATCCCGACATATTGATGTGTCGAAGAATATAAAATGATAATCTAGGGGTGATTTTGCGGGGAGTTATTTAGTCCCCATGCTCGCTTTCACTGGTGTGTAATAGCTTGGTTTGCTAGTTCTAAATTGACATGGTCAATCTGCATGCGTAGTACCCGCTCCGTCCGATAGGTACAAGCTGAGACGAAAGAAAATTCTCCGAACATTAAATTTTGACATCAGTACTCCTACAACAAAACTATCTAGATAGGTAATAACTAAGGTTATATAAAAGTTAAACACTCAAATCTCTACCGACATATAGTAATAAGCATCTATATAAGTAGAACATTACTATATTAGAAATCTACTAGGTAGCCTACTAGGTAGGAGGTATGTCATCGTTAACGGTCGCTTATTCCCCAAATGCCTACCTAGGTAATATGTAGGTAGGTACCACATGGTGCAGGAGAATGTGGCGGCACAACATTCACCTTCCCTCACATCTCATTCACCAAAACATGAAGATATATAATCAATGCAAACACCGAGAGTCATCAAATAACGAGCGTAGGTTCGGCCTAGTGGCCTAATGGTTAAGGCGCCAGATTTCGGTATACGAATCTCTGGAGATTGGGAGTTCGAATCTTCCCTGGGTCGATATATTTTTGGGGGTTATTTTTACTTCTAAGACTTTTTTTATTTGCTTGTTTGTATAACATGAGGGTTTGAAAAATAAGATCCTATCGATGTTCGCATTGCGGTGCTCTTGCTCTTTGTAGAATTGTCGGATGTCCATTTATGGTACCTGCCTAGGCAGTAGAAGTCAACCTTTTCTTAGGAATTCCTGAAGACAGTGTCTACTGAGGACTTATTAGTGAGGTGTCAAAAGAATCAAGCTACAAGTGACTTTTAAGAATGAATTCGGGATGAAACTGTTGCGATCATTCTTCCTAGAAAGCCAGCAATGCAGCCATACAAATACTTTTCCTCTCACTGGGTTTCCCGTCATCAGTAAATCATTCATGTCATCCATCACCAGAAAGGGTTTCCTGCCAGAGTGTTTTCCAAACGCAACAAGAGTACTATACACCCAATCAGATACACCTTTCTCCCATTAGGATCAATGTTGATCTCCGCTTAATCAGAAAATTCAATCGTCTCCATTCCCAACACAGCCATCAAATACTAGAAACACGGCGACTATCTGGTATCCCATCGAGTGCCAAAATTTGCTCCGATTTCCTCATCCTGAAAGATAGCCGATCATCAGTTGCAGAGAACATTTCCCATACCCACAGTAATGCCACCAAGCCCTTTGCATATATTACCAAGCTCATCGATTCAAGCAACGCGTTCTCCGAAAAAACATCTTGTCCATAAATACAACATGTAATCTGAGCCATCCCATCATCCTCGCGAGTACAAGACAGACATCCTACCATTCAAGATTCCGTCCAATTTCATATTGAAACGATTTAGACAGCTTCACTTCTAACCCCATCAAAACCAAACAATCCTCTCCCTCTATTCCCCCTCTCTATCTTTCCAATCTCGACCCAGAAAACACCCAATCAGCAGATCAAAACACAGATCAAATGAAATCAACTCACAACAACAGCACCAAGTCCAGAGAACGAAAAGCAGCTCCAATACCAACCAACCAAACTAAACATAACCACAGAACCAACAAACAAGTCCTATCAATAACTTCAGGATTCCTTTCTCTCTTTCAGCTATCAAAAATACAATACTACTAAATTATCCATCTTCCACTGCCACTTAAAGTTGCATGCTCGTTTGCATACATGCAATATCATTATACATACTTGAGTAGATAGGTATACCTACCGAATACCCATCTACCCATCACACCTCATCAGCACAGTCGATATAATAATATACATACCATACCATTTATTCCATGCCGCCATTCAAGTAACATATCAGTTCTTGCTATAGACTATGAAAAGATGAAAAACCACACTGACCGATACCCGAATGAGATAAATTACATAACGGAACCAATAAGCGGTTAAGTGATGAATAGCGGGGATGTGAGTACTGACTGGTTCTAATGTCATACCTGGGTAGCTCATGGTTTGGCGAGACATCTGAGAAGCGAATAAGACTGGGTGGGGGTGAACCAAAGGTATTAGATGTTAAATCGGTAGACCATTCAGCTGTAGAACCAGGATAGGAGAGAATCGGAGAGTCATGGAAGGAATAGAATTATCTAGGTGATCCAGGTGTTGTTCCCTTGTAGCAGCTCTAGAGATATGTAGCGAGAGGTGCGAAACTGGAGATTGAAAAAGAAATGTTAGGAAAGATTGCATGTGGATAAATTGAAAGGAAAAAAAGTTCACAGCGGAAGGATTAAAAGTGTCGAATGATCAATACTCAAACACTGGAGGAACAGATCACCATAGCCGAGTACAAATAGAGCTCATCTCATCATTCATTTAGTTGCATTGTATTTTAATATCGTAGATAGCATTCAGATCTCGAAAATCGAGTCGGACGATGCGAGTCCATATGGTGGATTACACCAGAGAGTAAAACTCCTATCCCATAACCAACAACCTCGACAACTATTTATTCCCTTAAACCTTCATCTCAGTGAGACCGTGCTTCCAGACAGTGATGAATGGAGTAACACCGTCCTCACGGTAGTTCATGAGAACGACCCTATAAAATGATGTAAGTGTGTGTTCTAATAAACTGGCGTACAAAAAAGAAAGAGTAAAGCTTACATTCCATCAGGGTCCATAGATTCACCAACATAGAAGTCATAATCCTTGAAACCCCCGACAATCTTCTTTGCGTATGCAGCGGCACCCTTCTCGAACTTGGTAACTTCCTCATCAGAAGCACCTGACTTCTTCAAGTGCTCCTTCACAGCCTTCATGTAACCTGTTTATAAGCATTAGTACAAATGCTTCTATGTTTTCATATGAGTGTAGGAGAAAATTATACCTTTGAGATGGGAAAGGTAGGATTTCTTGTCGAAAGAGGTGGAGTTGAGACGGAAAGAGTTAACGATATCGTTGACCTTTTGCTCTCCATCTTCAGTACCCTCCTCAGCTTCTTCAGCAGAGGCGTTGGCACCAGTATCTAAAATCCGGTTTTGTTAGATTATCCTCCTCCTAAGGTCATACCGGTCTTCGTAGACTCGATCGATTCGGGCGGGGTAATTTTCGAACGTACCGACGTTGACAGCGCCAATAGTGATCATGCTGCAGTTGACCTCGTAGACAACACCATCGACCTCCTTCAAGTCGTAAGAGTCGGAGATGATCTCATCACCAGTGATAACATCCTATAGAAATTACAAAATTAGTTTTCACTCATGATTCTCCTTTTAATTCTATTTCTCATAAACCCCCACCCCCAGGAAGATGATGGATCTTCGAGTCTTCGAAATCATCTGCCAAAGCAGTAAATGTATAAAAATCGGTTGTAACTTACTTTATAGATAATCATATTGACGGTTTGGTTTGAGTTGAAATGAAAGAGATGTTGAGATGTGTGTGTGTATAGGTAGGATAAATTTGTGGGATGTGGTTTCTGATGAAGGAAGATAGTGGGAAAATTCTTTGGAGGGGAAGTTTAACGGGATTTGGCTTAGTGTGTTAGGGGTTTTTGGAGACCTTACTGATTTGGACCACTTGTAAGCAAAATTGGATTAAAAAAAATATAGAATGCCAGCCATGGAATTAAAGCCACAGTTGAGAAGAAGCGAACTGCCCAGGTGTGGCTTTGATTCAGACGTGTTACAGTGCCCGTACTTCTAGGTATTACCCAGTAGTTAAGTTTCTAGAGTCTCATTTCTTTCTTCACTTTTCATTCTTTTATTTTTATTCCATCCGACCTTTTTTTTTTTTTTTTGCTTTCACTTACATAATAAGTACCAAGACGTCGGTACCAGTATCTATCTACCTATTGCATTGACGAGATGGACTCATGGGCTGATTTGATGGATATGATGAACTGACCTCGATCGCTTTATACCTACGCTCGAGCTACGGAAGCAAATATTCCGTGTACCGAGTGCATTGATGTAGAATCCAGATGTGATTTCTATCATTGATATATATTGTGGACAACCATAAACCAGAAAACCCAAACTTTCGAGCGCAGCGAGGGGATGGGGGTTTGGGGGCTTGCCCCCATCAATAAATAATAATGGATGAATGATGAACTCAAACGCCGCTCCGCTGGCCCTTCGGGGACCACTGCCGTGGAGGCAGACTATATAGGTACTCTCTCTGCATTGATGCCCATCATTTTACTTTCGCCTGAAGAAATCACATCAAGGCATAAAATGTGACTTGGGTACCTGGGTAGGTAGTACAGAGTAGTAGTTGATTATGTAAAAAATTGTTACAGAAATCAATCCGGTATATGCCATTCATGATTCATCCCATGAACTACTTATTATTAACTAGGTAGGTAGGTAGTGAGTGACTGACTCTCATCAGTAGCCCTTCACTTCACATGAACATCATGCCTTTTTTCCTAATCTGATTCATCTGATAATCCTTGAAATTGTCATCCATTCCCCCATTCCCCCATTCCCGATTCCCGATTCCCGCCGTTTTCATACTACGGAGAGGTACCTGCAACCCACAACCTGCAATCCACAACCCACTGGCATATGAAAATTATACTCCTTTATACTCGCAAGCTTCTGTCACAAGTTCTGTCACAAGTTCCGTCACAACTACCGTCACCAGCATTTTTATGGCTTAAATAATGTAAAATTAAAAACGTACGTAGATGATTACATAATCCCACAACTATCTCTCCGGAAGTAACGGCATTAAATTTTAATTCGTTCACTCAAAACAAACCTCATCTGACTTTCCCAGTGGCGTGGATCCTGTGTCCGTCATTTACTATTAAGAGCTTTCCCATCAAGTAACAGAACTTTCCGCTTATTGATTTGAGGGAAAGGAGTAGAAAATAAATACGATACCTCCGTAGTACTATACCCGTGGTATCTATCCCTTTTCTTTTGCATCTGAAGACAAGAAAGACAAGAGAAGAAAGAAAAAGAGAAAGATAAAAGATAAAAAGTGGAAGATTTATAATGCATTATTGATTTTATAATACATCCATGGATAGTCAAGAAGTCGAAATAAAAGAGTCATTATCAAACTATATTTCTACTCTTTTCCTATTTCAATCATCTCATCTCATCTCATCTCATCTCATCTCATCTCATCTCTCTCAAACTTCTCTCTCTTTATTCTTCCTTTCTTCCTTTTATACTTCTACCATCATACCACTTTATCAGAGTCAATAACCAAAACCTACATCAACACATTCCTTTCGTGAGCAACACGATAACTGCTGCAGCCATCAATTCAGCTGCTCACTCTTCAATACCTCTTTAATAAATACAATACAACACAATACAATTCAGTTCAATCCTCTACAACCCTCTACAATCCTCTACATAATGGCGAACCTAACAAACCTCTCAATTAACTCAACGACAACAATGTCCGACCTTCCGCCACTTCCTCAATATACTCTTACCCCCCTTCAACCACTCATTCCGTACATATCCGATTTCTACCTCTCACTCATTGCTCCAATCGCCGCATACTGGATCACTTCCCTTGTCTTCCATGTAATCGATACTCTAGATCTTTGGCCGCAGTATCGTTTGCATACTCCTGCGGAAATCCTCAAAAGGAATCGCGTCTCACGTTACGAAGTTGCTCGCGATGTAATCCTTCAACAGGTCATTCAAACCATAGTTGGGGCTCTGCTAGGCCTCACCGAACCGGAAGAGATGGCCGGGAAGACGGAATTCGATATTGCGAATTGGGCGCAAAGGATACGCATAGCGCAAAGAGCTTTACCGTCCATCTTAAGTTTGATTGGACTGAATGCATCCGCGTTATCGAAGAACGTAGCCGGTAATTGGCCAATTGTCGCGGGAGTTTTGGCTGGTGGTAAATATCCAAGCTTGATGGATGGTTTGGATGTGGTTAGTGGTCAACAAATTCCTGCCTTTGCGGAATGGGAAATGATCGCTGCGAAGATGATGTATTGGTATATTGTACCAGCACTACAATTTGGATTGGCAATTGCCATCGTGGATACCTGGCAATACTTTTTGCACAGAGCTATGCATATGAATAAGTGGTTGTATAGTGAGTTTGCCTTTTCTTGAGCCTTGCATGTGCAACAATGATCTAATGTATGATTTTTACAGCAACTTTCCACTCTCGCCACCATCGTCTTTATGTCCCATATGCTTATGGTGCCCTATACAATCATCCCTTTGAAGGCTTTCTTCTCGATACCCTTGGCGCATCAATAGGCTATAAAATTGCCGGCATGACATCTCGTCAAGGAATGGCATTTTTCGTTGCCTCCACTATCAAGACTGTGGATGATCATTGTGGATATGCACTCCCGTGGGATCCCCTTCAACATATCACAAGTAATAATGCAGGATACCATGATATTCATCATCAAAGTTGGGGAATCAAAACCAACTTCAGTCAACCCTTCTTCACATTTTGGGATAGATTACTAGGAACAGTCTGGGTTGGTGATACCACGGGAAGATATGAAAGAGGTAGAAAGGCGGCAGAGGTATTGGTTGAGGCCGATACAGTTAAGGTTGGGGAGAAGGAGTTGTAATTTTCGGGGCATCATTAGATGCACGAATGAAAGAATGTATATTACGACCACCACCACACAAAGATCTGCGATGAGCACTTGGGATTCTTCTTCTTCAACAGCAACAATTTTTTCATGTATTGATTGGAAATTTGGGAATCATACTTTTGGGGAACCAATTTTTATAGGGAAAGGAGCCGGCGTTTTTTTATGTTGAAGATTGATGAGGAAAGGGGGGGTGTATATTATGAGATCCTGTTAAGAGGGTGGTGGATTAGTTTGACAGAGTCAAGGGATTGAGGACGAAGATAAGGGTTACACTCAGTTCAAGTGGAAGTGTCTATTCTATTCAAGGAGAGCAGGGAAAAGTATCAGGTGTTGATGGACAACAAGGAGGAAGGCAGGGACATGACATCAACCTAAGCTTCTAGGTATCTCCAAAGAGATGAAATGAAGAGGAAACGGATAGAGAATCGGCAGGATAGAGATGGCGTATGTGGGGATGGGAATGGTATGGGGTGCGGACGGAGATGGAGATGGACACGAAAGGATACGTATGATACGATTAATAGTAATATTATAACACTTCTATTCTATTCCATTCATTGCATTCTTGTTATGTCACTTTTATGGTTATTAAATGAGATATTGCAACTTTACTTACTTCCCCCCTATTTCCCTTTTTTCCATATTGGGTCGTATTCATCGTATTGCTCGTATTCGTACTCGGATATTTATTCATGTGCGTATGGCTCCAAGAATGGCCTGGCCCTGTCTAGAGTTCGGGTTTCAGATTTTGCATCTGGATATAGATGGAGATGGAGATGGATATGGATATGAATATGGATATGAATATGAATATGAATATGAATATGAATATGAATATGAATATGAATATGAATATGAATATGAATATGAATATGGAGATGGATATGGAGATGGATATGAATATGAATAAAGATGGAGATGGATACAAACGGATACAAATGAATACAGATGGACATGTACAATAGGGGGTTAGGATATGGATACATGAGGGGAATTGGGATTCGGACTCTGATGTGGGTGTGAATGTGGATGTAGATATTGGGGTTTATTGTTTATTTTTTATTGTTTACCGTTTACCGTTTACCGTTTACCGTTTACCGATTGTCCGGGATAGGGGGTTTGATGAGGGGAGGAATTTAGGGGGGTTTGAGGGGGGTGGGGAGAGGGGAGGAAGGAGGAGGAGGTGGAGTGGAGTGGAGTGGAGGAGGGGTGGAGGGGGGAGAGGAGGGGATAGAGGATAAGGACAGGGATAGGGATAGGGGAGGGGAGAGGAGGAGGGAGAGGAAGGGGAGGAAGAAGAGGAAAGAGGAAGAAGAGTTGAGGGGAAAGAAGAGAACAAACTTAAGAGGGGGATGAAGCGATTGAGTATACAGGAGACTATAGGTAGGTAGGTATACTTAATAACTCAACAACTAATTAAATACGGGTAAAGAAGTAAACTAAGAAGGAAAAGAAAAAGAAATGGGGAAAAAGAGAATGGGTTTTAGTTTTTGAGGAAAAGATATTTTAATTATATTACGGATTTTAAATTCGAGGTTTCGAGATTGGAGAGGTTATGAGATGGGTATCTTTTATTTACCTAGATAGGTGTATGTGTGTGTGTATGTATATATGTATATGTGTATATGTAAATGTAAATGATTGTGTAGAATGAGGGTTTATTTAATGTTTTGTTTGTATATGTTGTGTGGTATATGGTAGGTAGGATTGATGTAAAATTTATATATATTGAGGAGGTTGTGGTTGATTATGAGGTGAATAGAGGAATTAAGAGATTGAGAGGGAAAGAGAGG